AGGATGATGCGTTGGATCCGGAGGTTGGTGGGGTGGTACGTGAGGACAAGGGGGATTCTGTTTTGGTTGTTATTGTGGGGAGGGTATGTGAGGGATGAGTTGCAGGAAATGCGAGAGACACAGTCGAGGGCATTTTCGACCACTGTGGAGGGGAAGTTGCAGTCCTTGAAAGACGAGGACATCTGAGATGTCTGGGAGTGGAATGCCTCATCTCGGGAGCAGATGTGGCGGAGGCAAAGGAATTGGGAATAGAGGATGGCCTTTTTGCAGAAAGATGGGTGAGAGGAGGTGTATTCTAGGTAGCTATGGGAGTCGGTAGGCTTGAAATGGATTTCGGTTTCCAGGTGGCTGCCAGAGATGGAAACAGAGAGGTCCAGGAGGGAGAGAGAGGTATTGGAGATGGTCCAGGTGAACTTAAGGTTGGGTTGGAAGGTGTTAGTGACATGGATGAACTGTTCGAGCTCCTTGTGGGAGCACGAGGCGGCGCCGATACAGTCATCAATGTAACGGAGGAAGAGGTGGGGGACAGGGCCAGTGTAGCTTCAGAAGAGGGATTGTTCCACGTATCCTACAAAGAGGCAGGCATAGCTTGGGCCCATGCGGGTACCCATGGCCACCCCCTTTGTCTGCAGGAAGTGGGAGGAATTGAAGGATGTTAAGGGTGAGGACGAGTTCAGCTAAGCGGATGACGGTGTCAGTGGAGGGGGAACTGGTCGGGCCTGCGGGACAGGAAGAAGCGGAGGGCCTTTAGGCCATCTGCATGGGGAATGCAAGTGTATAGGGACTGGACGTCCATGGTAAAGATGAGGTGCTGGGGACCAGGGAATTGGAGGTTTTGGAGGAGGTGGAGGGCGTGGGTGGTGTCATGGATGTAGGTGGGGAGTTCCTGGACCAAAGGGGAGAAAATGGAGTCGAGATAAGTGGAGATGAGTTCGGTGGGGCAGGTGCAGGCGGAGACAATGGGTCGACCAGGACAGTCAGGTTTGTGGATTTTGGGAAGGAGATAGAAACGGGCGGTGCAAGGTTGGGGAACGATGAGGTTGGAGGCTGTGGGTGGGAGGTTACCTGAAGTGATGAGGTTGTGGATGGTTTGGGAGATGATGTTTTGGTGGTCGGGGATGGGGTCATGATCAAGGAGGCGTTAGGAGGAGGTGTCAGAGAGCTGGCGTCTGGCCTCGGCAATGTAGAGGTCAGTGCGCCATACTACAACTGCGCCTCCTTTGTCCGCAGGTTTTATCGTGAGTATGGGATTGGAGAGGAGGGCTGCAAGTTCTGTGGGGCAGAGGTTGGAGTGGGTGAGAGGGGTGGAGAGGTTGAGGCGATTGATGTCTAGATGGCAGTTGGAGATGAAGAGGTCGAGTGAGGGTAGGAGGCCTTGGGGTGGTGTCCAGGAGGAGGGAATGTGTTGGGGGTGGGAGAAGGGGTCAGTAGAGGGAGGGTTAGGCTCACGGTTAAAGAAGTAAGTGCGGAGGCGGAGGCGGCGGAAAAACTGTTCAACATCCAAGCGTGAGCTGTATTCGTTGATGATTGGGTGGAGGGGGTTTGTTGCGAACCGAGCGTACGTGTTCCACAAAGCGGTCCCCAAGCCTCCGCTTGGTTTCCCTGATGTAGAGGAGGCCACAATGGGAACAGCGGATACAGTATATCACATTAGCAGATGTGCAAGTGAACATCTGTTTGATGTGGAAGGTCTTCTTAGGGCCCCTCATCCTCACGTACCACCCCACCAACCTTCGGATCCAATACATCATCCTCCGACACTTCCGCCATCTGCAATCTGACCCCACTACCAAAGACATCTTTCCCTCCCCATCCTTATCTGCTTTCCAGAGGGACCACTCTCTCTGTGACTCCCTTGCCCACTCCACACTCCCCACCAGTCCCACCACCCCCGGCACTTTTCCCTGCAACCGCAGGAAGTGCTATACCTGCCCCTACACCTCCCCCCTTACCCCCATCCCAGGCCGTAAGAAGACCTTCTACATCAAACAGATGTTCACCTGAACATCTGCTAATGTGGTACACTGTATCCATTGTTCCCATTGTGGCCTCTTCTACATCGGGGAAAACAAGCGGAGGCTTGGGGACAGTTTTGTGGAACACATACGCTCGGTTTGCAACAAACAACTGCACCTCCCAGTCGCGAACCATTTCAACGCCCCCTCTCACTCCTTGGACAACATGCCCATCCTGGGCCTCCTGCAGTGCCACAACGATGCCACCCGAAGGTTGCAGGAACAGCATCTCATATTTCGCTTGGGAACCCTGCAGCCCAATGGTATCAATGTGGACTTCACAAGCTTCAAAATCTCCCCTCCTCTGATGGCATCTCAAAACCAGCCCAGCTTGTCCCCGCCTCCCTAACCTGTCCGTCCTTCCTCCCACCTATCCACTCCTCCCACCTCAAGCCCTACCCCTATCTCCTACCCACTAGCCTCATCCCGCCTCCTTGACCTGTCCATCCTCCCTGGACTGACCTGTCCCCTCCCTAACTCCCCACCTAAACTCACCTTTACTGGTTCCAACCCCGCCTCTTTGACCTGTGTGTCTCCTGTCCACCTATCTGCTCCTTTATCCATCTTCTATCCGTCTACCCCTCTCTCCAATTTTATTTCAGGATCCCCTTCCCCTCCCCTATTTCTGAAGAAGGGTCTAAACCCAAAATGTCAGCTTTCCTGCTCCTCTGATGCTGCTTGGCCTGCTGTGTTCATCCAGCTCTATCTTGTGATCTCAGATTCTCCAGCATCGGCAGTTCCTACTATCTCCAGACTATAATCACTTGCTTTATAACAAGTTTATCCTCATTGTCTGCTTTGTCAATCACTTTAAAATCTACTTCGCTGACAATGCTATCTATGCTGTTCAGACGCCTCATGATTTTGTTTCCTGGAAGAAGTTTCTGCAAAAATGTTGGTCAAGAAACAAATAGTGTTAGTTAGGAAACAAGGGATAAACCCAACCCAACATCTACTCTTCTATTAAACAGTGGCATGAATCTTCAACATCTGAGAGGATGGATGGAGCGACAAGCTGAACAACTAATCTACATTTTTTAACCTTGAACAATTTTCCTTCTAGTGCAAGCTGTAAACGTGAAAGAATTTATAACCCTTAGCCATGCGTGCTGCAAACCCCAGACAAATCTCTCCTATGCCTCACTGCAATGAACTAAGGGGCTGCACTTGCAAAATTCAGCAAGACTCATTCCAGCTAGAGTAGTGCCTTTATCTTCAGCCAACTCCGTCCATTTGCTGCCAATTTGTCAAAATCTGGGATTGTGTCTCCTCTCAGACAAGATACGCAGAATCAGCCAGCAACCATGGAACCAAACTCCATATAGTAATTAAGGAGTAAAGAAAACAAATGGACAAAATGAAGTAGAGATAAATAGTCTCACCTTGAACAATGAGTTGCAATGTCAATGAGGCATTCCCTGCTCTGTTTATAGCTGAGCATTTGTAGAGACCACTGTCAGATGCTCTTGAATCCAAGATCATCAGTGACCCCGATGGCAAGACTGTGTACCTAAATGGTAACAAAAGCAGCGCCATCAGAAAGGGGAAAAGTTCTACACTTCAACATTAACTTAATTAGTTGTGAATTGGTCAATGCCTCAAGAAACCACTACTGTTCACCTCTCAGGCTAAAGTTTGAAACCAGCTGGACTGAAGCAATGGAGTCTTCATCTCAGCCGGGAACAGTTTTTTGTATTAAAGTGGGGAATGCATATGGACATGACGCTGTAACTCTCACATGCCATGCAGATGCAAAGTAGAACAGGTTAGAATGTTAATAAGTGTTAATTTAGTTTTATGGACCTACTGAAACACAGACAATAGTTATTCTTAGATAAGGTGAAAACAAACTCTGAGTAGGAATAGTATAACTGCAGCAGCCTCAAGAGTGTGGTTAAGACACCCAATGCCAAGACCCTATGGTAGGCCAAATCCATTAGATTGAGGCAATACAGGCTTAAGCCCATGGAAGCAGTACAGATTGTGGTGATAGCCATATCAATAAAGATTAGATTTAACCTACCTCATAAGTATGGACTTAGTACACAGCTACTACAAAACTGGAACTAACTTATTAATATCATGCCCAAGATGTCACCAAGATGGCAAACACTAGAACTACCTACTATTGGGTAGGGGTTACTTCAGAGTTTGGGTCAGAGTCCCTGTCCAGGTATAAAGTAAGAATTTCACTCTGCAACTAAGCTATGCTGAAAATTACTTGGGGATATTTGATGTTGTTACTGCCAATGCAACATAAATATGTTCAGTTCTTCTGTTATCCTACTTACTATGAGGAAATCAAGAGTGCAATCAATTCATCTCAACAAAGAAATAGAACTGGATAGACACCTGGCCACAACCTAGGAAAAGACAATGACAGAAACAGCCCTGCCAACTCTACAAGGTCCTCCTTACTGACATCTGGGGGCTAGTGCCAAAATTGGGAGAGCTCTCACAGACTAGTCAAGCAACAGCCGGGCACTGTCATACTCACGGAATCGTATCTTACAGACAATGTCCCAGACACCATCATCACCTTCCCTGGATATGCCCTGTCCCGCCGGCAAGACAGACTGAGCAGAGGTGAAGGCACAGGGGTATACAGTTAGGAGGCAGTTGTTCTGGGAATTCTCAAAATTGACTCTGGAGTTCATGAAGTCTCATGGCATTAGGTTAAACATGGGCAAGGATACGTCCTGATTACCACGTACCGTCCTCCCTCTGCTGATATATCAGTGCTCCTCCATATTGAACAACACTCACAGGAAGCACTGAGGGTAGGAAGGGTGCAAAATGCACTCTGGATGGGGGATTTTATTACACACCACCGAGAGTGGCTTGGCAGCAAGCTGGCTGGGTCCTAAAGGATAGAGCTGCTAGACTGGATCTGCGGCAGCTGGTGAGGGAACCAACAAGAGGGAAAAACATACTTGACTTCATCCTTACCAATCAGTTAGCAACAGATGCATCAGTCCGTGACAGTATCATTGAGAGTGACCATCACACAGTCCTTGCAGAGTCCCGCCTTCATATTGAGAATACCCCCTGTCGTGTTGTCTGACACTTACTGGTCAACCATGACATGCTGTGGGCCATCAACAGCAGCAAAATTGTTCTCCAGCACAATCTACAACCTCATGACCCAACACATTCCCCACTGAACCATTACCATCAACCCTGGTTCAATGGAGAGTGCAGGACGATGTGCCAGGAGCAGCACCAGGCATACATAAATATGAGGTGTCTACCTGGTGAAGCTACCAAAAAGGGCTACTTGCATGGTAAACAGCATAAGTAGCAAATGACAGACAGAGACAAGCGATCCTACAACAACAGATCTAAGCTTTGCCACATCAGTGATAAATGGTGGTAGACAATTAAACAAATCATTAGAGGAGGGGGAGGCTCCACAAATATCCCCAACCTCAATAATGGAAGAGCGCAGCACATCAGTGCAAAAGATAAGGCTGAAGCATTCACAGCAATCGTTAACCAGAAGTGCTGAGTCGATGATCCATCTCAACCTCCTTCAGTGGTCCCCAGAATCATAGATGCCAGTTATCAGCCAATTTGATTCACTCCCCGTCATATAAAGAAGCAGTTACAGGCATGGGATACTGCAAAGGCTGCAGGCCATGACAACATTCTGGCAATAGTACCGAAGACTTGTGCTCCAGAACGTGTTGTTCCCCAATCCAGCTCTTCCAGTACAGTTACAACATTAGCATCTACCTGACAATGTGGAAAATTGCCTAGCTTTGTCGTATACAAAAAAAGCAGCTCAACCCCAACTCAGACAACTGCCACTTCATCAATCCACCCTTGATCATCAGTGAAGTGATGGAAGGTGTCATCCACAGTGCTATCAAGCAGCACCGCCCAGCAATAACTTGCTCAATGACTCCCAGTTTGGGTTCCGTCAGGTCCACTCAGTTCTTGGCCTTACTACAGCTTTGGTTTAAACATGGACAAAAGCACTGAATTCTAGAGGCAAGGTTAGAGTAACAGATCTTGACATCATGGCCATATCAAGGAGCCCTAACAAAACTGGATTCAATGGGTATTGGAGGCAAACCCACTGCTGATTGGAGTGATACCTGGCACATAGGAAGATGGTTTTGGTTGCTGAAGGTCAGTCATCTCTGTTCCAGGACATGTCTGCAGAGGTTCTTCAGGGTAGTGTCCTAGGCCCATATACTTTCAGCTGCTTCATCAATAATCTTTCCTCCAACATAAGGTCAGAAGTGGGGACTGCACAATGTTCAGCATTATTCAGAACTCAACAGATACTTAAGCAGTCTATGTTCAAATGTTACAAGATCTGGACAATATCGAGGCTTAGGCTGTCAAGTAATATTCGTGACATACAAATGCCAAGCAATGACCGCCTCCATTAAGAGACAACCTAACCACTGCCCCTCGACATTCAATGTGTTACTATCACCGTACCTCTCCAATCAACATCACTGGGGTTACCAATGACCAGAAACTCAAATGGACTTGTCATAGAAACACAGCAGCTACAAGAGCAGATCAGAGGCTCGGAATACTGTGGCAAATAATTCACCAACAGACTCCCCAAAGCCTGTCCACTATCTACAAGGCACATGTCAGGAGATGGAATACTGCACACTTGCCTGGATGATGTAGCTCCAACAATACTCAAGAAGCTCGACATCCAGGACAAAGCAGCTAACTTGATAGGCACCACATTCACAAGATTCCACTCCCTCTACCACTGATGCTTAGTAGCAGCAGCATGTAACCCAAGATGCACTGTAGTAATTCAGCAAAGATCCTTAGAAAGTGCCTTCCAAAGCCATGATCACTTCCATCTAAAGGACAAGGACAGCAGATACACGGGAACAACACTACCTGCAAGTTCCCCTTCCAGCCACTCACGATCCTGACTTGGAAATATATCATCATTCCGTCACTTATGCTGGGTCAAAATCCTGGAATTCCCTTCCTAAGGGCATTGTGGGTCAACCTACAACACGTGGACTGCCGCATTAGAGAAGGCAGCTCACCATCACCTTCTCAACGGCAACAAGGGACTGGTAATAAATGCTGGTCAGTCAGCGATGCCCTCATCCCACAAATGAATAAAGCAAAATTCACAAAAATACTACTTACAGCTACATCTTGATTTACCTTACGTCATTTCCCTTTTCTCCTCATGCCCTCCATCACCCACTGCCTCACTCCTTAGTTTTACAAGCACAATGCATGTATGAACCATAAAGCTGTTGGGAGAAAGGCTGCTATGAATACATTGGTTTTAGAACTGAACCACAAACAGAGCAAAGCTCAGTTTGATTTTACTGATAAACTGCAAAAATTAGCTAGGAATGAAGAGATAGATAAACAATGCATCATAACTTGGAATACTTCTGACTCACTGCACAGTATTTTGGTCATATTTCAATGAAATTTCCACTGATATCACAATGGAAAGCTGTTCCCAAAAAGAAACAAATTATATTATGAAAGTATATTTTGGATCCAGATGTTTAAAAAAAGTTATGATCAAGGAAAGTGACATCAGTGTTGAATGTGGAATATTTGAGACCTTTTCCCAGCTAATGTCAGATTCAATTGCTCGAAAAATAATTATCACATGAAAATTTACAATACAAGTCCTAATGTCTACCCCAACAATACACCTTAAACACTGTCTCAGATAAGTATTTCCAACTGCTGCAAGTGGTACTACTATCCCTTGTTTAGCGCTCCTAATGTGTTCCTAACAAAAAGTGTGCTAAGGGAAAATTACTTGCCCACTGGAAACCATGTAATCAGGAATGGTTATGTTCCTGACCTGTTCAATGTTTATATCAAAATTTTAGTGATTGCCTATAAACCTAACTGGCCCAAGATCTTCCTTCATCTTACGATAACCACCTTACTACTCTTACTAACTTACAACTCTAATTACCTCCGATTGCTGCCCCCTCTCCTAATCCCCTCCATGCTTCCTTCTTCCTCCTCCCAATACTCTCACTCCCTCCTGAGTTTATGTGATGGAGTGGGTTGGAGCTATTAACAAATGGAATTTACAAAAGGTGACGCATATAACATAGGTTGACATAAGGCCTGGTCAGGTCTCAATCAACAGAGATGTGAATCCATCAGAAGCCATCCATCCAAATGAAAAGCTGAAAATGTTCAATGGATGAGGTTGTTGACTTGCTTGCTGAGCTGGCTTGTTTTCATTCAAACATGATGAGTGAAATCAAGCCAGATCAGCGAGCAAGTCAATGAATGAAAACAAGCCAGCTCAGCAAGCAAGTCAACAACCTCACCCATGACAGATCTTTGCTAAAACTTTAAATGATCAATGGATTTTCAGAGAAAAAAAATGTCTGTACTTAGTTTCTTAGCTGGCTCAGATCCGCAGAACAAACTGCCAACATATTAACATGAGCAGGCCATTCAGCTTTTCTAGACTGCAAACTTCCTAGACATTCTTCTGGTAACTGCTGACTATACCCAACCACAGGCACA